TAGGGTCTCTTGAAAGTTCCCCAAACATGTTCTTGACACATTTTTATTTAGTTTATCTGCTTGGATTGGCTTCTAAGAGACAGTAAATTTTGTACGTGAGTCGGTCCAACTTGTCCTGACATCCCCATGAAAAATTATTCTATTTGCGTCCCTGTGCTCATGTGGGGGTCAGTAGATTTTGTCTCTTTGCTTCATTTCTCATGGAAGGGCCAATTTGTCTCGACGATACAACGATAGGGTGGATTCTTTTCCCTATTACAAAGTAATGAAATCCATTTTAAGACTGGAATTAATCAAACGTGATGGAAGGTAATTCTCTGTAAGTAAAGTGCAAGCAAAAGCTTATAGCCAAGCAGCCACGACTCATGTTAATCTCCGGAACATTTTGTGACAATGGCAGAATTTTTTAGCCTGAAAAGTGTTGCTCTATGTGGGGAAGTGAAAGGCACGAAAGGCCCTTTCTTGAGATGCTTTATGTAGGGACATAAAATCGGATCATTTTATGCAACCAAACCAAACCCTCAGCCTTTTCAATAATCAATTGCTACTGATGAACAATTGGAGATAATTTTTTTGATTTAATGAATGTCAAATCTGGGTACTGTTCATTGGAGATGGATGGAGCGGATAGCAGAGTGTAATTTGCCAAAACCAACTGGTTTGAGAGCTTAAACTTTCCAGACGTTTGGCAGCATATTCAAAAATGTTGAGCTCTTAAAGGGCATTGTTTCCATATCATGATAAGGACAATAAGGCTGCATTTAATAGATAGAGAACGCCAAAACTTTGAGTTGTTCTTGAAATTTTTGTTGATTATCACATGCAATAACACTGTTTTTACATAGAATTAGAGTCAAACTCAAACCTCTACTGACCTCACTTGTAGTTGAAAGTACCTTTTCACTACTTAAAGTTGCTGACTGCTGGTTTTAAACAGTTTTATATCTTTATTATAACTTTTCATGTATTTGAAAATGCACAAGATCAAATTCTTTCATTTAAAACCCTTGTTTGTTAGATTTAGTAAGGCCAATCCATTTTTATTTGTCAGTATTTGTTTCTACCTAATATCTGAAAATAGTTTTAGGACACTAAGAAGCTTATGCTTATCGAACAGTGTCTTGGTCCTTCCTCTCGATGTGACCACACCTCATGATTCATACGCCTTGAATTACAGAGAGCTGGTGACTCTCCTCAATCTGGGTGAAAGTTTGGTCATGCCAGAGACTTGAACCACAGACCCTTGGGTCTGTAGACAGCGCCTCTAACAACCGAGCCATCCTCTCACTTGGCCTAACCATTATTCTAGTTTGCTTTATTTCATATCAAAATCGACATTGGATCATACCTAATTTTCAGGAAATCTTATCACTGCACATTTTACAAGAAATCAAGGGTGGCTGTAGGTAATAAGAAATAATTTGCGGAAGCTTCTGAGATTTTGCCATTTCTGAGGCCTTAAAATGGCTTAGGATCCTGCAAATTCATTATGGGTTATTTTGAGATATTTTAAAAACAACGTTGGCATTAGTAGTAAACAGGGATACCATAAAAGAAAAGTCAAGTAAACTGAGCTGTTGCGTTTCACAGTGCATTCCGTGATCCGGTAACAGTGTCTCATTATAGATACGCAAATCAACGCAAATAAATCCTATAGACTTTTACAAACAAACTAGGTTGAGGTCAACCTTGGCATTCAAGCAGTAATATTTTTTTTGAACAATGACGCAACGCTGTTTAATGTTAAACAAATTCAACGTCTTCAAAACGTTCTCTTCAACTCTTTCTCCTTAACTTAACCTCTCCGTCTTCTTTATCGTCGTTCGCAAAAACTTTGCTAAACCACTCTTCCTTTCCTGCTTTTGTGCTTTCTCTTGCCCGACGATCTTTTTCCTCCATCCACCTCAATGCTGCAGGCCTAGGATCAAAGTCACATAGTTGTGGCATATTCATATGTATGTAAAGGTAATCGCTGACGGTTTGGCGCTTGAAAGATGATCTGCATGTTGATTTGATCTTGTTATAAAGAGAAATGACCTGCTCACAATCAGCTGAATGGGGTTTGCATACAAGAATGCGGCCAAGGACGATACAGACATCTGAATACTCGTCCCTTGCTCCTTGTAGCATGTTTTGCAGCATGCTGAAGGGATCGGCCTTTTGCATTTCGGCACAATCTTGCAGATCCTGATACTGAATGGCTACATTTGCCAAATCCAAGTCAGGAGCAATAGAGCGGCGAACTTTTTTTATTTCATCTTCTGTGGCCATGATCTTAACAAACGGGTAAATGATTTGGAAGCATTTCTGTCCACTTGAAGTCGCTTGTCTACGAATGTGTTGATTGCTATCACTGATTCGTTCCGAATAGCACTAAACTTTCTGCGATCTGTTACAAACTGATTGGCATCTGGTCGGCGTCTTTCCTTCTCCCGAAGCTTGATCCCGCAAAACGTATTCATTTTCCGAACCTCCCAGCAAGGATCCAGTGCTCAGCTTGTTCACCCTTTCGCGAAACTTCTCTGCCTCTGGCTCAATGTCCACAATTGTTAGTGAGTCGCTTTGAAGCTTTTTTGGAACACTTTGATTAAGAAAAGCAGGTCTGCAACAAAACACATCAAAATAAGGTTGTGCCTTCAGCATCGAAAGGAAGGAAACTTTTTGCCTTCAGCATCGCATTGCTCTACGTTGAACTTTATGAGTGCTTGCCACGAGCACAGAATAGCATCAAGAAGAGCAGCTGTAAATTCTGCCCATCTGACCTCAAAATACTTTGGGAAACGACGCACTGTTAGCCCTTCCACATTTGCAACTTTTTCCAGCTCACTGGTTCGTTTGAAACGTGAAAATAGATAGAAAATTGCTGCTATTTTCTTAACCAAGTGATCAATTTCTGGGACACTCTTACATAAGTCTTTGTATGCATTTGCAGTTGAATGCACTGCACAAACAGACTTTAGAAGGGGAGTGTCGATGTCTAATTTCCTTTGGTTGTCATCTAGGAGCTTCCAGAGACCACGATGCTCTCCAACATTCTTATCTTCCCCGTCAGTTGAAAGATGAGTTATCACTTTCATTACTTCGTCGAAGCCAACAGTATCGCTGCTCCCAATTTCAATGCTGCGAGATGCCAAGAGGCACCACGATCAGTCACGTGTCAAATGTCAATAAACTTGAGATCTGATTTCTCATTTTCATCGACTACATTAAGTAGCATGTATGGTTGGCGTGTATGGTTGGAAAGGTTGATTGTAGTTGAATTCATGAGCAAGTTTTGCGGCAACTACTCTTGCTGGCCAAGAAAATGCCGATGATGTCAAACATTTCGCGTCATTGTACACATGGATTATTAGTGACCCTATCTTGTTGGCCAATTTCTGGCGCTGCGAACTCAACATCTTAACCAAAGGCACAGTTTGAGATTTCTCGACAGATGAAAGTTTCTTCAAGCGCTCGGCTTCGAGGCATTCTTTATGTGCTTCACTTTGTAGATGCTCTTGGATTGCGCGAGTTCTTGCCTCTGTGCCCTCGGGAAGACAAATTGGTGGCACTCTACCCCTGTAGCAAAAACGCTTCAGTATGGTGGGGTACGGTAGGCATACAGCACACAGCACACGCTTTCTTTTAGCTTTTGGTCCTGGCACACACTGGATACATTTGTCACTGATTTGTGTATCTATCTACCTTTGAATGGGTCAATGCTTTTGGCTCGGCATCAACTTCGTTTCTCTGAATGGAAGAGCAAGGGCTGACAGAATCATCGCACGTGTTGCGGCTAGAGCTTGTTTCCTCGTCCTCGCTAATTTCTTTTTCTGTCTTTTCGTGTCCTTCGATGTCTTTTTTCCAGTCGTTGATGAATTAAAAAATCTATCAATCGTACCTTGCTTCTTAGACGACAATGTTCAGTAGTTTGAAGTCAATTTTGCTTTTGTAAACGTTCTTATTAAGACGTTTATACCAACGTTAATTTAACTATAAATATTCTATCTTGTTTTTACGCCTCCTTCTTGTTTTATTCTGGGCAATATAAACACTTGAATAGGTTTTGGAACTCAATCAAGACTCTTCTAAAACAATCTTGATGATCTTTTTGACATTTTGTAATTCTGTTTGATTCAGAATTCTGAAAGTCCGAAAATTCTAAAATTGGTCAAGCAGTTACAGAAAAAGTCATGACCCTTTTCCAAGTATGACGAAAATGACAAAGCACCGTTTTTATAACTGCACATTGGGCAATTTGTTTCACTGATCTGTCAGTTCTATTGGGGTTGCTAGATAATCATGATAGCTTTACAGTACCTTCAATAAATTGCCTTGCCCCCCAGAATTTGTTTGGCCCCTTCATTTGCCCCCTACTTTTCTAAGAAGATTTTTGGTTGTTGGTTAGTGTTTCCGCCCATATGCCTTATACGTAGCTTTTAATATGACATTTAATTTTATCAAACAATTTTTTCTTACTTGTAACAGATTATTTTTTTTGCTTATAATCTTTGTTGTTGATGGAAAGGACAAGCGTTTGCTGTAAGACTTTCCTTGCCTCTTCTGCAGTTGTCTTTTGCTTGATTAAAATAATATGAATTGCTCGGGCATTCTCTCTAAACTGCTGCATGCATTAATTCTTCGCTAAATTTTTTGAAACAAGAAGATTTAGATCACCTTCAAAGTAAGGCGTTATTTTATAAATACATTGTGTTCGTACACTACTATCCAAGGATTTTCTGAGATGCCCCCCCCCCAGTTTTCTCAGGCTAGAATCGCCCCTGAATCTGACCTGGTACTTGACTTCCAGTATCTATTCGATTTGATTTGGTTTGAACAAAACAATTTCTCGATTTCTCAATGAATTGAATTTCGCTCAATGCCAAAAATACCCCCGTTCTTGGTCATTAAACCCATTTGTGTTCGCATACTTCCGCAATGTTTATTTGGGCCTGTGCTGGTCAGTCGATAAACAAACACACATTGCAGGAAAAGGCAGAAAAAGTCACGAAAGTCTGAAGATGTGTTCGCACGTAAACCCTTATATATTCTCGCGTGACTGCAAGGCTCACCTTGAATGGCTGAGAAAAGTTTTTGACGTGGAAGTAGGAGAGATGCACTATTTCAAGGAGGACCCAAAGAAAATTATGCACACGTGCGTCAAAGTACAAAATGGTGGCACTGTTATGATGGCAGATTACATGCCTGGAACGTCAGAAAAATGCACTTCAGACAGGGGTTCTGCAATCAGCTTGCAGTTTGAGAGAGGGCAAGGCGAGAAGTATTGGAAAAAGGCCATTGAAAATGGAGGAACGGTTGAATTTAAATACGAAGTGCAGTTTTGGGGAAGTTACTTCGGGTCGTTTGTTGACCCCTTTGGATTCACCTGGATGATTGTTGAAATGGTCCCGGACGCCAAAGAGACAAATCAAGAATCGAAATAGGGAACGTAACTGTACTGCAAAGGAACTTGACGGAGAAATTCTAGTCTGCAAAACTTATCGGCATGCTATGGCTTGCCTAGTTCTGTTAATTGTACTGATGAATCAAGTTTGAGTCTTTAATTGACTGTTTGAAATTCTTTTGTAATTGCTGTTGTTCTGTTGAAGTAATGCTAATTATCGCTTTGCATGAAGCTTTAGTGAGGTTTGGGATTGGGTTGGTCGCAATTCAATGATATGCTGCTTCTTTCGTTGAATTCTGTTTTAAAGCTGGGAAACACAATATGAGACTTTATACATGACAAGGGGGGGGGGGGGATATGGCTTAACTTTATGATGAAGTTTATGCAAATTGTATTCGATTTTGAAGTCCCTACGCACATCAATTATAAGACTACTTAATTTTGTACTATTTTATCGTTCCGTTCAGTTTTAAAATAGAAATAAAACTTCAAGAAGTGTTTTTCTGTTCGAAACTTACTTCTCAACATACGTTTTCAAAGAATTATCAAGTCCAATGTGGCGCTGTCAACCCCAAAATTGTCTTAAATTGCGACATTGTGGCCCGGAATTTCTGTATCACCCTCAGGGGCGTTGAGGCTAGGCGGGACACCGGGAAATTTCCCGGTGGGCCCTTTTAAAATGAGTTTGTAAAATCCCGGAAAATCTTCAGTGAGAAACCTCTCACTTACATGTAGACTAAAGTTCACAGTTCAGAATTAGAGGAAGTCAACATACAAAAAGACCCCTGCGAAGAGATGCGTGGAATTTGAACAGGGCCGCCGAGAGGGGGATAAGAAGGGACAAACAGCCCCAGAGCCTCGGGGTTTATGGGGCCTCTTAAAGCAACGAATTTTGATTTAAGAGCTGAATGTTAAACGAAACGCAAAAAAGTATGCCTAAAAAATTTCAAAACGTGGTAAACAGCTGGAGAAACATTCTGAAATGTTGTTAAAGCTATAAAAATTTGAAAAGCATGGCCACAAAAATTTTTCTGTTTGCTTCGCTCTCAGTTTATTTTTGTATCAATTGTGCACTACGGCATTAGATTGGTTTCACATTTTTGCAGTCTTAAAGAGACTATGGTTAGAGAAAAGGGGATGCACCACAACCAATATAGCAGACGAACCTTTAAAGATGATAAAAACTGGCATTTTTTGGGGTTTTTCGTTGGTGCATGGATTAGCGCTAGGTTACGTAATACCTGGAGGTAAGTGCCATTTTTTGCTACCTGTGGTTTGTGACTGGAAATGAAGAGCACCCCCCCTCCCCCTTCCCGGTGATCATTTTCTCCCGGCCCTTTTCTAGGAGCCACAACGCCCCTGATCACCCCTATATTCGAAAGCCCTTAAGTATTACCGTTTTTAATGAGTCTACTTTCTTTATATAAGAACCAGATAATTTTTGCCGAGCCTCGATGTTCTTAACAATGTTCTTAAAATTGTTCTTATTTTAAGAGTGATTTTTTGCATATATTTGAGAAGTTACTTAAGTATATAGTTTTTGTTAAGATGTGAAGGAGATAGAACAACGCATGGGTTGAACAGAAACAAAACGATAACTTTATATTAACTTCAAACGGCCTACACACATAACTGTAATACTGTCAACTGTAATCTGAAACTATATAAACATGGGTCACATAAAGTAATGCTCCTGCGCATAGTCAATTAGGTTACTACAGTTTTCAAGATGTTTTACTGGGTAAAATTTAAAAATAAAGCAATGGCTGCTAGTGTTTATGGACAAATTCATCAAAGATTTTTTTTCTCAAGAGAATGTCGGTACAGTAGTCCAGTGCTTGCGAATTTCAAAATGCGAAATGTTTTTTTTTTAATTTCTCATCTGAAGCAGAGCATGTTTTAGCCTTGTTCTTATTTTTTTGGCAAATCGAGTTTAAGGTAGTTCTTCTAGGTAGTTCTTCTAGAGTTTAAGGTAGCTCAGTGTTCTTCTAAAGTGTGTTCTTATAAAAGAAAAAAGCGTAAACGAAGAAAGGCACGCCAATAGTGAAGTGAGCACCGATCTGCAATTCTAACGACGAGACGGCACATCCTGTTCAGAAAAGAAAAGCAAACGAGAAGCTTAAGGTTACGGTAAACGTTTTTGACACGATATTTGGTTTTCTCTCTCTAAAAGCCAAACTGTTTCGTGAATATCATCGCAGCGATATTTAATTCTCGCTAGTTCTTGAGGATGCGATAGATCAGAAACCACGAATAAGAAGCACTCAACATTTTCTGTGTATCATTTTCTTCAACTTCTTTCCAACTTTCCAACTTTCTTAAACTACCAAACTCCAATCAAATATTCCCACGAAAAACCGTTACAGGATTATTACTAATTGACCAATCAAAATGCAAGATCATACATAAATGGGTGTAGCTTGTTTACTCCTTACAAATGTGACAATGGATGTGCGTCAAAACTTAAAAGGTGAAAATATTAATTAATTTAGTGCGAATAACATCTCTTAGCAAATAAACCAAAACATGACGTCAAAATAATGTGCGCCCGCGAAGTTCCCTTAGACAGAAGCGCCATCTGATTAAACTATACATCATTCGATGCACAAGAATGTAATGATTCCAACCATATCAAAATCATTGGCAAATATTGCAAAATGATACTTTCCAGGCAAATTTATTGCTTAAATGAGTGTACCACCTTCAAAAGCTTTTTTTACCCTTGCGTTTTGAGGTATCAAAATCTGACTTATACCAGCAGAAAGCGCAAATCCTTAGCTACCAAAGTGTGTGTTTCAGATTTTTCAATTTTCTCTTTTTTTGAAACTATACCCTGTCAAAAATTGGTAATCAATTTTTCTATACTCCCGTAGTTCTATTTGGCTATTAAAGAAGGACCAGAACAAATACAAAAAAAATTGGTAATCAATTTTTCTATCCTCCCGTAGTTCTATTTGGCTATTAAAGAAGGACCAGAACAAATACAAAGATTTTGAGACACTTTGCTAAACCGACATCAGTCCTGGCCTTGGGTTCAAAATAACTTTTTTGTACCTGTATGTAGAGGAATTGTGAGTCTAGAGAAAACAGGGGTTTTCTGATGGCACTTCAAAGGTACAATTGTAAATCACAGTGTAATCCGGGACAAGTATCAGTAAGAAGCTCAAAGAACAGCATGCTTTTTCAAATAAACACAGCCATACATGGGATACAACAAAGATGTGCAATGCGATTGTAACTAGTTATGGTAAATGAGACATTTGACAACAACCGCAAAGCAACGATAATCGGCAGGTCAAGAGATTTTCAGACCTCGACTAAAAGTTTTGATAAATAAATTATGGAAACCTTCGTTAGCATGGGATTTCTGCCAGTTTCGAAATATCTGTTAGTTTCAAACAAAGTATCATTGTGTGCCTTGAAAGTTCGGCTATTAGGATGTAAAGAAATAAAAAAACGGATGTTTTCATCAGTGGAGTCGCCAGCTCGAAAAAGCTGGGGTGGACAAGAACAAATTTTCCCGTCCATGCCCTTCAGCTTCAGACTTTTGGAAAATCCTTTTTTTAGTATTTTCATCTATTTTGAAATTTTCGGACAAGCAACTTTCGCAAGCAGCATTTTACGTAACGGTGGCTTTTTTGCTAGTGTGAAAATCGAAATCGATTTGATTAGCCCAACCCCCCCCCTCCCCCACAAAGGTTTTTCAAACGATTTATAAAAAATAAGACAATGGACTTCTGGGAAAACTGGGGTAGACATGTCCAACCCAGTCCACCCCATGACGACGCCGCCGGTTTTCATCCAGTCAGCGTCAGACAATTATTTGGTCACGCTTGTAAGGAGAACGTAGTTAGTTCTCATCGAAGCAGGCATATCCCAGGATGAAAGCATTTGAATCATAGATTCCTCAATTCATCGATTTGTTAGGACAAGCAACAGAGACGAACCATAAAAAATGCACAAGCTGGAGCTAAAAGATCTTGTGTAACTTAACTAAATATATAGGTCAACATTATAATGACGACGGATCGGTGACTTTCCCCATAAATACAATGCTGTTAGTGGGTCCATGTCTGATAAAGAATATAAATGGTCTGTTCATTATGAATTCTGACAAATTCAAGTCACCACTAGATACGGCGGAGCCACCAGCAGCCTCGGTTCCACGCTCATCGATTTTCAACACGGTCTCGTGTCTGACATCAGAAACGAACATCCCTTTGAATCCAAGTATGTTACTTAAATCAGCGAGGTCCCTGTCGAAAACATCAGTGATGCCCATCGTCTTCAAAACACCATTTAGCGTAAGCGCAGCGGCTATACTAAATTTCGGCATGGAGAGCAAAACGTCCCGTTCCTGTTGACTTTTGAGACCTTCTAGGACATTAGTAATCAGGCTAGAACTAATTGACTTCTCAACATCAACAAAACTACTGGCTGAATGTGGTAATAAAATAATCATTGCGAAGTTCTCGTCTTTATATGGAAGCTCGACTGCCCCGAAGGCGCCCTGATGGCCGTCGAAAAAGCGAAACATACCAAAAGTGAACATGGTTGGCACTGCCTTGTGGACAGGTTTGTTGTTGACTAAAGCTTCGAATGGCTCTTGTCGTGTATATTTCGGTAAAAACATTTGTTTCCAGCCATTCTTGAAAAAAATCACGTTAGTAAGAATAAGCCTAGTATTCCAACTGATTTTCTCTTTCTGAATAAGATTCTGTATTCTGCCCTTGGACCTGTTATATGCCCATCGATTGATGGTTGTAACTGCTTTTTCTGCATCCCCATAAAAATTTACTTCCTCGAGTTCAGAGTGAAATAAGCCTTTGATCTGTCTGACGAACTTACGGCATTGTGTGAAACAAAACCACTTTTGCAGCCATGCTTTATTTGAGATTTCAAGGTTGTGACTCTCTTCGTGCAAATTGTCCGATAGTTCTTTCAAAACTGTGTCAATGTCAGTTATATTCGAGAACCCCAAGACATCCTCCATTTGCTTTTTGCATTTACTCTTGGCACCGGTTCTTAGCATTGCCAGAGCGGTATAGATGCTCAAAGGGGAGAAAACCAGATTACTTCCATTTCCATCCGCTAACAACGAGTAAAGTTTGATGGAGAACTCTTCATTTGATGCTTTTAGCTTCGAATTTGAAGAAATGCTAGATACTTTTCTTTTATCTGACCATGGATCTGACGCGGTAAAAGAGCAGACTTGTTTGACGATGAACAAGAAGAATGCTACTTGCCATAATGTTGCTTTATGTTGCTGTTTCATCGTTTTTTTCTGTGTTTTTCTGTGTTAGTTGTTTTCGTTAAGCCCTTCTACCTCGCTGTGTCTTCGCCTGCGTGCACGGTGAGTTGATCCAACACTCTGTTAATCAAACACCTTGTATGGAGTTTCACAAAAAAGCATCTGTTTGCGGATTGCTAAACGAATGATTTCATCCGTGAATATATTGTTGGTCGACTGTCAACAAGCCATAAAGGCAGGCGGAGACGCCCTTCCCGTCTGAGGCAAAGCAACGTCAATCAGACGGCCAATAGCCTGAGATATTCAATAATTGCTAATGCAGATCATTGGGTCATATTGACGATGTACCAATTAATTCCATATTTGGTTTGAACTGACCACCTTGCGGTTCAGACGGACGGATTCTAACAAAGGTGGAGGGGCAGGGTGAGGTTCAGCATTTGTGTCTACGTTGATGGCAAAACAAAGTAAAAGAATCAGGGATTTTCTCCTAGCTCTGCAAAGCACATCAATCGAATTATGATACTGCAACATTTACATTTTCTATGTTTTCCTTGAGTGGAAACCAGTTTTCGTATGCTTATGATTAATCATATGCCATAACTTTTTAACGATTTTGCTGAATTTTTCATCATTCTTTAAATTCATCTAATGTGTAGGATTTCTTTTTTCTTGCTGTTAAAATTTCAAACCACTTCCATTAGGTTTCAAAGTGTAAGCACATGTTTCTCTAGTTAACCGGGCATATGGCTCCATAGCTCTTCTTGAGTTTTATTCATGTGTCCGCTAGCTTTACAATTTCAAATGCAATTTCCTAGTTAACTCCTCTATTGTATCTTGTATCATTTATGTCGTAAGTAACTGCTGTTATGCTGAAAATCATTTGAGTTTTGAGGAGCCAAGATACCATTTGGCGATAAATATAGTATAGATTGGTTCAATAATATAACAAAGATTTGTAATTTTAAAATGTAATTCCTCATTTCAAAACTAAGATTGTTGAAACCATATGTTATATCCCACTACTTCATCCCATTTACACTTATGTTGTAAAGTTAATATCAAATTGACAGTTATGATTCTATGCAAGGAGCAGCTTGGTCTGACATTTAATGAATAGGTTTAGATTATAGGGTAGCAAGATATAACAGCTTGATACGAAAACTTTAGAAGAAAATCTCATTTTACTTTGAAGAATTCAAGTATGTCAGGGCAATATTTTAGGTTCTTTACTTGTCAATATATTAGATTCTTTACTTGGCAATATATTAGATCCTTTACTTGGCAATGTAATAGATCTTTTACTTGGCAATATATCAAGTTCTTTACTTGGTAATATATTGGGTTCTTTACTTACGCTATCATGTTGTTTCCTCAGGTTACTGGATTATTTGCTCGTGATATCGAATTTTTTTTGTCGATTGGCGTTTATCCAGCTCACGGTTCATAAATAACTTGCAGCGTTTCTTAGTATTGCTTAAAAGCTCAATGCGGCATTTCAAGGCAGGGTTACAGGCATAAATATATTCAAAATTTTGGAATGAATTGCTGAAGAATTTTTGGATAAACCAAGTGTTGTGATTTTAAGGAGTTCGATAAGTACTAAGATCATTACACAATTATTTGATACATTTTCTCAACTCTTTGTTTTGCACTCAAATTTAGATGCACAATAAGGCACGAAGTTCATGAAATCTATAAATATCTTTGTGAGTTTCCGTTCTTAGTATCTGCTGCTGCCATACAGTTGCTAGTGAACTAAACTGGACTAGAAAATAATGAAAGGGAGATATAAAACATCCACCCATACCTCATCAATTGATTTATCAAATTCCCGGATGATGAGCCGCAGGGCTGGATCCAACAAGGCGTTTGTGTTAAAGAGACATGTTTTTGTGTGGATGTGCGCAGGGACGCCTCTACAAGATTAGGGCGAGAGGGGCAGTGTTGCTGCTGAAGGCAAATCGTAAAATTTTGTACTAACATGATCGAGTATTCCTGGTTGGGTTGGGGGGAGGCAAAGGTTGGAGGGGGGGCGAAGGTTGGGATAACTTGTTAACATATTAACATGAATATGTGTCACCCATACAGCTTGCTTTTTTTTACCATCAATGATTCTAAACATCCAACGAAATTATCCAAGCATAAAGAATGGGTATTAAATGGCATTGTCACTTTTAACAGTATTTGGATTTATAAAAATCATGGTTGTCATAAGGGGCTAGTTGTAAAATGTTATTTGCCCGCTAAGTTTTATTACCGATTTATCCTAGTTAGGTTCGTTGAGTACTTATGAGGGAACAAGTCTTTTGTTTATCTACTATTATCTTTGCAGCTCTTCCTCTTGTGGCCTACTTTGTCACAGACAAAATTTTCAACTTTTGCGTTGTTGTGCTAGTGTTATCATCATTCTTATATTTTCTAAAGAAATTAACATCACAAGAGTGGTCAAAGTGGTCATCAATTATCGATAAGATTCTATAATATTTTTTTACATTTCAGGGAACTTATTGCCCCCTCTGCTCCTCTCCGAAGAGAGCAGGAGGGGCAGCTACCCCTCCAGCCCCTCTGTTGTAGGCGCCCCAGGATGTGCCAGAAGTTTCTGGGCATGTGATCATTTTTTAGATACTGTTGGCTCTTTTTTGTGACTTGACAACAAAGGCAAAACTTTCTAATGAATTCAAAGCTGATAAATGATGTTGCCAGAGGTTGAGCTTCTTAGGCCGTCGAAATTATGTTACCTTTAAGAATGTTGATGATATAGGTATTTCTCCTTAAAATAATTCCTGCTTTTAACGATTCTATTTAAGAAGGGCGTCTCTACCGTAATTCATTGTAGAGGTTGTGTCAAAGCTCATAGCAAGTATAGAAAGCGACGGGTTGTGACTAATAGTCGCGAAGAGTAATGGAAAACATCAATAATATCCACACTCTACAAATTACCGGATTTGTCTGTGGTCTTTACCAGGAACTATCCTAATGTTGGTATTATCCAAATGTGGAAATAAGAAATAGATCAATGGAAATTCTGTCATCTGTGACGTACTTTAGCTGCATAGCTACGTTCATGTGACAAATGACTTTGATTGAGTCTCAACTTTGACGATTGCCTGTAAAAAAGGATCAATAGCTTTTTAATGGCAATGCTTCCGTGATAGACTTGAACCATGTAATAGAATTTGAATATCTGTTTTTACTCAATGCCCTTGTCGCAATTTCAAAGAAATTTCAAAAAAATTTTATGACAAAACTGCTATATTCTAACATTTATCTAACTAATATTTCTCATAAAAAAAGACTCCATTTTCCACAGTTTCTTTAGAAATGTTATAAAAGCAGTTATTTTGACAATTTCGACAGTTTCTCTATGCTAACATTATATTAGCATTATCATAAATTCTTACAGAAAGTTAACATGCTTAATCCGTCGTTTTAAACGTTTAAAATTTCCTTGAAGATCCAAACACCAAAATGTAATAGAGCATAATAATCTGTTTGTTTGATTTTGCGAAATATTGTTATCTCTCTCCACCAGAGCTTGGTAAATATTTTGTAAACAGAACACTACAATTAATAGAAATATTCCATTACCTTTCTTTTTCTGTAGATATGTCATCCGTCATGCTACTCTCTTTCATGGGCATACCCAGCGTTTTTGTCTTGCCTCACTTTTTTCGTTTTTTTCTCCCTAATACTGCAGGTTGTACTTTTCATTCTGTTATAGTCGTGTCTTTGGAAGTAAACAGCTCCAAAGCGTGCAAGCTTACGCAGACTGCAAAACTATATACTTATTATTAAAACTCTTTGCTAGGAAGAAAATATGGGAAACGAATTCTAACTTTTCTTGATTTTTGGCTTTAATTTTGATCGATGATGACAAAAAGACTGATGGAAAAAATCAATTTATGAAAAAAACAGTAAAATGTTCGGCTTTTTGAAAGCATAACAAAATGAGAGAGAACTTGAAAACATGCCTACGTCATCAACCGCTATGAGTGAGAACACGCCGACGTCATCAACCGCTATGTTGAAATTAAAATGGGAAGATTGTGTGAAGACAAAGGTATAAGGATCATATATACATCCAGCTACTTTTTGGCTTTGGTTATGGAAGCAAAAAAGAAAAAAAAACTAGAAAGTAACTCTCTGCGAGTAGGGAGGGTAGCGGCGATTTACCGGAAAAGTTGCGATGCATTTATGTATCTCAGATTTGCCTTGATTATTTCGCTATTAACAGCAACTGGTAGCCTTTCATGGCCATACCACAATACATTAAGTAGCATTTCATTGGAATGTTTGGCGGGTCATGTTTATGCAATAATGCATTGACACTGTTCAAGAGATCATGTCCATCGGCATCATATAAGTGGCAGGACGGACAGAAAGAAATGCTCCGTATCCTCAATGCCATTAGTAATAGGGCACATTGGATCAAGTGTATCTTTGAAGTTATATCTAAACTTACGGAGATTTAGTTTGCTTAGACCCATACGTGACCGAGTAAGAGCAGCAAGGCCTTTCGTATCATGGATCCTGAATACTGGCTTAGGATTGGCGCGAAAAAATGACAAAAGCCTCCTCTTGGAGAAAATAGTATTGTAGGAAATAGTCTAACTTCTGAGGCGAGTCTGTTCCACAGACTTCCCTAATAGTTTTGTCAGATCTCTATATCTATCAGAACGGGTAAAGGATATAGTTTCTACCCGAGGCGGCACCATGGTTGCCGCCGAAGGAGGAGGAAATTTTCGATTTTTGATGCTTCCAGTTCCCTGGAAAATGCACTTTTTAAGCAAATTTCACTAAAGCAGTCCTCCTAACCCTATTGAAAATAATTTTTTTTGCAAACAAATTGAACAGCAGTTAAAAACAACTGGTACAATTTCACTATGGTCTTGAAAAATACCATGTTGTCAGTTACTTCTAGGTAACAAGCAACACTGGTTGTCAATTTAGATCTCTCTTTCCATCTTAGCATGCCTTTTGAATGTTCAAAAGATCTGGAGCTCATAGTGAATTGCAGTTCGAGAAACTTTAGGGGAAATGGAAATAAGGCGCAATTTTACCTAAAGAGGGCCTGGATTTTTAGATTTAATGCCAACAAGAGTATCATATTTAACCAACGGAGCAACTACCTTTGCTTGATCCTTTATTGATTTTCTGACAGGAAAGTCTCTGAAATACCTAAAGCGTTTCTTCCACCGATCGGATTTCACCTGAAATTTCCAATGGAGATACTATTGAGGAAATGTGACTGTTGCTCTCGCATTCCCCTTTGAAATTTGCACATCCAACGCCGCGCATAGCACGGAAACAAGATAAAGCATGTACATATGGCGAAAAAGTTATCGTTGTCGGTGGCAGCTAGAGTTTTTTTTCCAAAGCGGCAAAAATATCTCAGAAGACGAGAATAAACATAACTATAACTGACAGCAAGTTGCATCCTAACAAAAGCATTAGGGACGTCGTCCATTCAAAAACCCAGCAAATTCGTTCTGAAGGCATGTAAGGTTGCTCATACAGAGCTGGATTTAACAAGACGATAGGGAATTTGTCAACGTAGTTTCAACAGCCATCTTGACAATTCCCTAAAATATCATGCCAAAATTAAAGCCTCGACTAATTGAAACAGCCATACAAAAGACCTCATTTGAATCCGTGACAAATTCGTCTCGGATAGGTGTTTACACTGTCCCAAAACGGAACCGTGACGGTACAAAATTTGTTCGCTTTCAAAGCAGGAACAAAACTGTTCCGGATAGCAGAGCAAAATCGTCTCGGTTCCACAGCTAGTATAAACGGAAGGGTGAACCGCGACAGTTTTGTCACGGTTTCAAACTTGCATGGGGTATTGTAAACGGGATCTGGAATTATGGGGGATGTGATATATGGCATCACTATAATCAAGATGTGGTCCAACGTAAAAATTTAATAATTCAATATAAGTTTGTCGGGGCAAGTGCTTAGAGAGGAATTTTATTATCGAGAGAAGTGCAAATATTAGCTCAGCTGTGGAGAAATGAACAACTATGCTCTCGTTGATAAAAGAAAAACATGCACCCACTCACCAACGCAGGGTCTCGGGTAGATGCACATGGAAAACCTCTGAGCTAAAAGCCATTCTAAGGTTCAGGGACAAACTTATAAAAAATTGGTCTGCTTTCTTAATGCAAGCAAATGGACTGTAAGAAACTGGGCAAATAGCTAAAACATCAAATTAATTGCTAAAATTAATTTGCCAAAAAATTGCCAATTGTCAGGAAAACATGAAAGAAACTTGGAACACCATAAACCAACTAACTAATGAATGTTCCCAAACGACCAACATCTCTCCCCTTGTGTTTGATGAGAAATGCCTGACGAAAAGCAGTGAAATGGCAGATTTTATGAACGACTGCAACATAGATGACTAACTTAATTCGAAAATACCAGACATTGAAAACCCTTTTCTCAATGGGGATCAATCAATAAACGAAAACCATGCGAGTTCAAAACTGCTCATAGTTCTGGCATTGATGGTATATAATGCACATTTCTCAAAATTGGGATGCCTGTATTTGCTACAGCATTGTGCAGTATGTTCAATGCGCCCATTTCACAAAGTTTAATTTCAAGGAATAAAGAAGATTGCCAGGGCAGGGTCCCATCTTCTAAATTGCCCCACCGAAGATAGATTCAGCTATAGAAATATTTCTATGCCTATTTGAAAACACAGTCTTCGATCAGGCATTTAACTATTTCACTGTTAATGAAATTTCTCTACTCAGACCAGTCGTGTTTTAGACTATTTTCTCCGTAATGACATGCTTACTGAAGTGCCCAATGGCTGGACTAGAATCTAAATTTCAACTGGTCTAAAAATAATAATCAGTCTACTTACAGTAGGCGGGTATAATATAGCCATCTATGTACAATGTATGTACAAGCTAATTTAGGCCTACTCTACAAAAATTTAGAATAGAAAGCAATTAAGAATGAGTAATTAATAATTACATATATAAAACAATTGGTTAACTAACGAAAGAAATTAAATTGAAGATTAAAAAAACTTTTTAAAATTTTACAATGCTTTTATAATTGTTTTTATATGTTTTAACATTTTCTAACCAAGACGACTATTTTATTTATTTTCTAGTCAAGGAATCCAACCTGAGCTACGTAGCATCTATGTACATAATTTGCAACAACATTCTCCTTTCCATTTTTTAAACTGGGCAAGATTAGATGACTCTTTTATTTCTGTGGACACCTTATGCCATAACTTTCCCTCTAGATATGAAATGGTTTCTATTTCAAAGGTGGTAGTTCTGACTTTTGGAAGATGCATTTGGCTTCCGTTCTGAGGCTGTATTGGGGGCGTTTAGCAATAAGTATGTCTTCCATAAATGTTGGATTGAGGTTAAATTCTTTGTGTGAATTTTCACAGCGTTGTCCTGTGAAAATTCATGTCTGAGTAGAGAGTCCTCCTCTTGCCTAGGCGTTTGACGTTGATATTAAATAAAAGCTGATTAGAAAGAGTTGCCATCTAAGACAAAAAGACATAAATATTATTTGCTTTTTGCTGTTTTTTTAGAGTTTGAAAATTTGACACGTCAGGTACATACATACGTTGTATTTGACATGAGGGGTACCATTTGCATGACAACGGCGTCTTAGGCCAAACATTGCTCTTCTAATGACTCCTCTCATGGGGCCTTTTTGCTGAATTTAAAAAGACAGGGAACGATCAGCTGAAACCATGCTTTTCCAGCGCCTTTCCCGAGCATTTTGAGGTGTGTTTGTTTTAAGAGCATCAGGGAAAGATTTTTCATGAGAATTTTTGGCACGGTCGCTGATGCACTTTGTCTATAAATTGATAAATCCGAGGAGCAGCTGTTGAAAAATTATCTGAAAAGAAGGGAATTTATCTGAAAGGAGGCAGACTTTAACGGGATTGAAGCCAGTGGATTGAAGCCCTAAATTTTCCATTTAACTAAATTCATCTCTGGAAGACCTGTGGAGTCTGTACGCAGGTTAATTTGTTTACAACTGCTCTAAAAGACCGTTCTGGTTCATTAATCTCGCTTTCGTTACCGTTGGCAACTAACAGAAGTTACTGAACCGTGAGTGTAAGAATCCGAAGATGCATAAACATTTGATGGTTTTCGTACCGAATCCCCCTCGTTCTTTTCCATTGAAAGAAGAATAAAAGCCGCAAATAATTCAAATAAATTAACATATATTGACTCTACGTAAGAGAAACGGGCATCAGGAACTTTGTTGATAAGTTCAGGGTGTCGTGTTTTTGTGGTGTCATGGCCAGAAAAAAAACCCAAGTAAAGGTCAGGTGTTGTGGAAAGCGACAGAACGCGCAAGTTGGACGAGTTCATAATAAAAAAGGAGGAAAACATGATTCGGGCAGCTTTCTTCATTTTGAACCTCATTTTAGTTGCACATGGTATGAATTATTTTTGCAGTTAATTCTTTTCGTTACACTTATCATTGAGCATAGCATAACTTAATCGTTTCATTTGGGAACTTGTTTATATTCCACTAGGAAAGCAAATCAATTGAGAAAACAGAAAAGAGTTATCCAGGAGACCCTGCAGTTATGTCAGCGCTGAACTTGCATTTTCGGGCCGAGAATAGGAAGAAATTTAGGCCTACGGTATCCTTCATCAACATACACCAACGCAAGTTCATGAAGGAGACGGGGGGAAGGGGGTTGGTGCAGTACCGAATAAGCATAATATAATCTAAAATCTAGTGATGAAAGATTTTTTGCTTGAAATTAAAAGGATCAGATAAGGCTGGCACATGTATGATAAAGTTCATTTTTGGAAGAAAGAATTTGTTCTTGGAACGTATTTGTACCTGGTCAGGTTGAAACTGTGTGGCCAGATCACACTGACACAGCGTTTGTTGGGCGTTGTTCAGCGAAATTTGAGACCGTTTGACCGGAGCTTTAGAGACTTTAATGGCATTTGAAGATTTTGTCTAGGGCCTGAGTTACATGACGCGGGATTGTCTTCATTCCGGATTTGTTTTTACTTCGGATAGGAGTTCCACTTCGCATTTCATCCCTTGTAAAAGTGCATTCCGAAGTGATTTACATTTCGGTGTCTCTCGTATCCAAGCAGCCTCTTTCACCTCTATCTTTTGAAAAAGTGGGCACTTTCTCCAGAGAGTAGTTGAACAGGTAAGAAGAAACCCAATCTTTAAAGAAGCCAATCAATTTCAAGCGGAAGCCTCGTCTTTAATGTTTCTCTCTTCATTTTAACTACAGTAAGAGAATATGACCGTTTTCTACCTTACCCCATTATATTTTGGCGCCAATAATGTGACCTAAAAGGAGCTCCTTCGCCAAAACATCATAAAACTGCTTCTTTTCTGCGCAGAGCTTTGCCACCCGGCGTCGTGTAACATGGCGATCTGAAGTCGTGTAAACACTTCTTAAAGCGGGGTGCTATCGCTTCGGATTGGGAGGGCCATCCGAAGTGAAAACCAATCCGGCCTCGATAAGAAAAAGCTTTTTGGCCACTGCTCGTTTTAGCTCATGCGAGCTGTATCATAACTCATAAGGCCAGTTTCAGATAAGCGCAGAAATTTTATTAAGTAGTCTGGGGCGAGCGAATTTAAAAACTGAAAAGTTGGTGTGGCTGTCTCTCTTCTGAAAAGATTACTGATAGTTGACCAGCCAAAAATCTGAATTATCGGAGGAGCAGAAGCATAGTAAGGATTGTTAGTTACAATTCTAGCAACTCTATTTTGGATTTTCGCAAGACGTCAATCTTTGATTAAGAGCGATTATCTGAACCCCTGTCTATCTGAACCTCTGAGTATTTAGCATTGGTAATCATTTCAATGTCCTGATTAACAAAAGAGAAAGATGGTTTAACATCAGGCTTACAGGTGTTTGGACCAGAACCTATAACAAGGAACTGTGTTTTCACAACGTTTATGGAAAGTTTATTTGCATGCAGCCAATCCTGCAGCTTCAACAGATCAAAGGTCATTTCATAGGTCATCAATGTTTTTAGAAAAAAAGGTATGGCCGTGTCATCAGCATACATGCTGACATGAGATTTCTGCAGGGAAAAAGGCAAATCATTGATGGAAATCAGGAACGAAAGTGAACAAAGGCAAGAGTATTTAGAAACTCCACAGTGTATATTCCCTTCACATCAGAAAAGTGCCATATACACTACAGAATTGTTTACGGTCATCTAAGTATGATCTGAACCAGTCACATTCCAGGCCAGTCACTCCATACATGTTCAGTTTTGTCAGTAGGACTTCGTGATCAACTGTGTCGAAAGAATTCTTCAAATCAATAAAAACTAAAACAGTGTATTTCTCTCTATTTATATTTGAGTAAAAATCATTGGCACTAGCTATAAGGGCTGTGGTGATCAAATGTAAAAATAAGAAACCAGACTGATGCTCATAAAGAATTTATTTGCACCGAGGAAAAATAATTTCTCGAATAGCCTAGATGTGAAAAAGTATTGATATTGTCCTGAACCAGTCACAATCCGTCATCTCGTGTGCCACTCTTGAAAATGGGTGCAATACGGGCTATTAAACCAGAAATGAGTCGAAGAAAACGAGCGCTGGCGTAATTGTGACCCAATTGAGAGTAACAAGTCTCATGAGATTTCACTACCAGGTGTCCCTCGAAAAAGGAATCCGGCTCGAAACATCAGTCCTTAGAAAAAGATTCAAGAACTTGTGAGCTCAAGAAGGGGCGCAGTGGAGGGGAGAGGGGCGTGGTTTTTTTATCTGGCAAATAAAATTTAGCGACAGATTGTGTACCCTCGGTACCAGAGCCACATAAATTAGAGCGCGGAAATAGAAAATAGGAGTGGAGAAGTGGAGAAGCGGAGAAGCGTCTAACAGATGAGATTTTCTTTCTTTTCAGCTAAGTAGCGATCAGAGAAGCAACGAAGAAAAAGTAGCGCTCAGCGAAATAGCGATCAAGGAGGGCTCTCGGAAGGATCTCGATCGAGTAGGAAGCTTCAAGCACATTGGATCACAGATGTGCTGAAGTGGGGTTGATAGAAACAGTAAAGTGTGATCACAGATGTGCTGAAGGGGGTTGATAGAAACAGTAAAGTGTGATAAATTGGCGACCGATCTTTCACCGCCGAACTCAAAGATACATGGAGCTCCTTCAAAGGATGGGGTTATAAGACCCCTAAATCCCCTTCTTTGGCAACCCCAGATTACATTACTTGTTGAAAAATAGTTATATGAAAAAGGTAATAATTTCGTTAACCACATTATTAATATTTGGTTTTGCATTATCAAAGCAGGAAGCAAGGAAGAGCCACCGATTGGGGTGACAGTGGAGCAACTGTTTGAATTGATGCGGAGTGAGGATGTGACGTTAATTGATGTGCGAGAGCCATGGGAACTTTCGGTCATGGGAAAAATCGCTGGATCAACTAACATCCAAGGTAAGCTAGTCTTTCGGCGGGAAAATACTTGCGCGATGAAATAAACCTGGTAATTAAGAATGTTAGGGCTGGAGAAGTCCTCAAGTTTTTATAAGCAATTTGCATTACATATAGCAAAATCTTTGAAATTACTACCTTGACTTTGCGATACATTATATTTGACTTTCACCATGATAATTATAATTATTTTTCCATGCAAAGACAGACATCGCCAACAACGTTTTAAATATCTTTATGTGCTTGTTAACAGCGGAGGTTATTCTCTTGCGGGATATTAATCTAGTATACAGACAACCTCAAGAGTGAGGTGTATTGGTGGAGCAGTGCTATTAACAGTGTTTCTTATTTTCAGGTTGGAAACTCAAATATGCATTGTCATTATCCTCGGGAGAGTTCAAAAAGAGATATGGAATCTCACTGCCAGCTAAAAATGACTGCAACCTCATCTTCCATTGCGCGACGGGGGGAAGAAGCCTGAAGGCAGTGACACTTGCAAGGCAAATGGGATGGTACTGGTAAGTGCGTTCTACTATTCGATTACAAAAAATGACATTTTCTAGTAATTCATTCATTGACGTTGTGCAACTGAGGAAGATAAAGTCATTGATCGATCGATCCATTATGATTATGATTATTTATGATTATGATTAATGATGTTGATTGACGATAGTGAGTGATGATGATGATTAATGATTGTGATTGATGATGTCGATTGATGATGTTGATTGATAGTGTTTATGAAATCTCAAGTAAGAACCTTATTGCGTTGATTTCTTTACAGTTCTCGCCATCTTCTTGGGGGATTTAAAGCGTGGAAAGAGTATTTTGAATAGGAAAAGAAGACAGCAGTGACTGAAAAAGGAAGGCGTCACTTAGTGTCGGCATTAGCTGCCAGGTGGTTGATTATAAATCTGAATGGAAATACAAGTTAAGAAATATGCTAGTAATCATGATAATCTAGAAAGCATCGGGGATTCTGTTTATTAAGACTTCCATCTGCTGACTAATTTCTCTTATACTCTTAACAAAATGTTACATCAACGTGAAAACAATAATAAAATCTTATGATATATTGTAAAAATGAATAACTATACACTATCAGTAGAAATTCGAGGGCTTTCGTCTGAATATCCTGCTAAAAGCTGATAACAAGGACATTTGCAATATTGGGGAAAACGATCTAATATCAAAGAAGATGGCATGTCCAGGACAGAAGCAGCTGATTTCCTCATGGGCACGCATCAGATTCACGTGGACATGCAGGGAGAGTGTCGCCTTGGTTTTCGCTAGGATCTGACTTGATCTTCGTCACCAACAGCTGCATTTACACTGCTTTTCGATGCTGCAGCCCGCCGAGTCTTCGAGCGCAAAAATAAATTATTGGTCAGCCATATTGCCATCGAGAAAACTTTGATCGGATAACCACTAAACAAAAGAAAGACAAGAGGTTCTGAAGTTACAAAAGTGGCCTTGATTTTGACACAAATATTTTTTCGGAAACAACAATTCGATTATTCAGAGTAGAAACTTTAACAATGTATTTTTGTGAATATTTAGAGAGCGTTGGATTTTCAAAATAAAATGAAGAGCAATTTAAATCTAAAACTAGCTGCGAAAATAAGATGAGAGCTATTTGTAGCATCAAGCAAGAAATGACAAAATCTAGAACATAGATAAAAACCTCAGGTGAATTGTCACAAACCAAGATCACAGCGAGGACTTCATTGGAAGGACGAGATATCGGTTGAACGTGGGAATTTTTACGATGCTATTTTCACTATAAAAATGAATGTATTTACCAATCTTCTGACGGTTTTGCTTCCAAACCACTCAATATGAACAGAGGAAACAGAACACCAAATAGACATGCACTGGAATGAATGAAATTATCGTTTCAATCATAAATTCCATCACATAAGCCACTTCAAAAATATTATTTAATATTACCTCTCAATGCATGGCAATTGCAATGAAACTTACATGGAGAAGCTAAAAGAAATTAGAATGGTTTAAACTGTATTAAAAACTAAACGTTTCGTTAGAATATTTACAATTGTTAACCCGTGTTTGAGTAAATGGTACTTTGTCCTAACCCCTGCGTGACCTGGACACTATCAACGCCGAAAAAGGATTTTAATGTTTTGGGGCAAATGTGTTTGATAAATAAACCCTTACTGCAAGATTTTGATTGTGACTTAGCATCCAGATGGTTTACAAAAAGCAGATTCTATCGAAATTTCTCAAGTTGATCTTGAAGTTTATCAAAACAATTGTCATTCATCACAATTCTTGTGCAAATGTCAATGATTTTCTTTAGGAATTATCTTACGAACTTTTTTGGTTTGAATGAGGCATCTATAACTTTTAATTTTACAGGCACTGCGAATTTGCATATAAGAATTTGCATATAAGACTTTAAACTTTCCGGTAAGATAAAGCGAGTCCGAGGGCTTCAATTCAGCTGCAGGCTTAATCGCAAACTGCAGATAAATATCCAATTAATTGACATAGTGATTCAAAAGAGACTGTAATATATCGGAGAATTGTCATTTCGGAAATGCAGCAACTCATATTAGACGTGTAAAAAGCATTTAAAATCGCGTCATTAAAAACGGCATATCTTGCGGTAACAACCGGAGCATTACTCAATACCAAAGAACATTGCTATGCGTAAGAAACTCTTGTAAACAGCGACTAATTTCCTTCACCCAAGGCCATGGAAAAAGTTAAAGCATTTCAAGTGGCTTAGTCATTAGCTTTATTCATTTATTTCCAGCATTTACAAATATCTATGATAGATTATCGTCCTTCGCAGAACCAATATGCTTTATTATGCACGGAAACATCAAAATAACTACCTGATAACCGTGGACGAGCTCGTTGAGAGGACAGCCAGCAAGAAGCCAAAACCGAGAAAGTACGGCCAATGGTTCTCTACATATGAGATTCTTTTCACGACACCCCAGCCTATCGAGATGAATAGAATTTAAATGACAAGATTAAGTATTAAGCATTTATAGATTAATAGGCGAACATTTTACATACGAAACTGATGAATATGAATAATTTTCGGCGAAGGACTTTCGATTATTGTCAAATGAATGTCTCATATAAAAAACATAAACACATTTCTGTTTGATTCGTGTGAAATTCGAGCATGCAACTGGCTATATAAGCAAATGGTTATTTGAGGCTATCATAATTACAAAATGCTACAAGAAATGCACATACCAAGGTTCATCCACGTGTACTCAAAGGCGTACAACGAGTAAAGTAGCGACAAATGGAGAAAGGCAAATGGAGGCCCAATCACCGGAACGAGACCTATCAAGTTTGCCTAAAATGCAAATGGTCAGAGGTAAGCTCCGTTTACAGTTTGCAATCGGAGTTTGCATTGCATTAGTTAGAAAACGAATTACAAAAAGCTGATATTTACAAGGAAAAGGCAGTGTCGCAAGGAACAACGCTGTTTTAGAAGCAATTCGAAGGTTTTTCACAATCAGTCTAGGAAATCAATTCCAGATGCAGTGTCTTCATACATTGTAAATCGCCGATTTTACGAACGTATCAATGCCTCATTCAACGATCAGCGCTGAGTTGAGTCTCATCCTAATAGAACTTTGATCAGTTTTTCTTTTTTTGATTCTCAAACTGAATATTTCCATGAAGTTAGCGTCACAAGTAACAAGAAATCTTAAGTTTTAGGTGTCATTTGGCTCTGGATGATTGCGTGGAAGCAAGCTAGTGCATAAATATGATAGATTCATCATCATATTTCAACAGCTGACTTTAAAACATTGAGCAAACTTCAAAAATCTTCTTCCTTATCCAGACGCAATGGTAAATTAGTCCAAATCTAAGCTAGGTTTCATTCACTTTCTTCAATGACGACTCACTGAAAATAGCTCAGGGGGGAAGGGGGGGGGGGGGGGGGCGAAACGTGTCTGAAAGCAGAGGGCCCAAAATATCAGAGTTTTGGAATTATTTTGGAATTTTGAAAAAAAGTTTGAGAAATATGGTATCTTAAGGATGTCCAGGAACTGTATCTCGAAAGGATTTGACTAAAGAAATCCAAGGCAATTTGTCCCATAGTCTCGTTGATTGTAATGTTTACTTGAAATAGGAAAGATCTTGAAAAGTTTCAGAATAACCTTTACAATATAGCTCATGTTAATGTTTTTCATTAAGACGGAAAAACCTTTATAATATAGCTCGTAATGGAACTTTTGTAGATTTAAAAAGTAACGAAAATAAGATGGAGTAGAAAATCAATGAAATATGGCTTAATAAAAAACATTAAAATTGAAATGTCAACAGAACAACTATAAACTAAAAATGAAATATTAAGCAATTTTCATCTTTTCGGCAATAGTGTGCTTGTAATAAAAAGGACTCTGGATTTAAAAAAAAACTTTAAAACTGTGCTGGTCAAAATGAGTTTTAATGGAACTTATAATTACGTCTAGATTTTCCCCTTTCTTATTAGGAATGGATTATCGATACAATCAAACATTAAAGCTTTCTTGATGATACTTTTGAAGAATAATTGTGCCGATTTTATTTCTCATATCCTCAACAAATTTTTTCCCAGCAACTTCTTTTTCTTCAGCAGCTGATTTATCTCTTATTGCAACACTTTTGAGAAACTTGCCGTTAACAAATAGGCCACAGAAGGCCACAGAAGAAATGAAACTCTACAATTTTGCAATGGCATCGAGTTATTCTGGATCCTTTTTCGATTTTTTTCCTATGCAAGCTGTTACTCGTGGTACAACTTAGACAATGGCCGATTTCTTCGACCAAATTCCCATGTTCAATTCCATATATGTTTTCTATGGTAAAGACAATAAAGCTAAAGCTAAGGGCATATTTAAGGGAATACTAACTAGACCTGGTTACTTACAAAATGACATTTCTTTCCACATTCTTTCCACGTATAAACATCAGAATAATGACCGACAATTCTTTTCTTTCTCTATTCGTTTCTAAAATTCTATTTGTAGTTCTACTCTATAGCCTTTCATTATTACTGTCTATAACTATTTTATGAATTTTCCCCCCTATGTACCCTGATCTGAATACAGTTTAATGAAATATAACAAATTATGCCTCACTGACTGTCTGAAATGTTTCTTTATTGTAAGTTTTGGAAAAAATATTCTATGTTATCACAAATACTATTTCCAGCTCGAATCGTAATATGTATCTAATGAGTGAATTTGATCCTTATAAATTTCGAGTTAACTCTTTTGCAGACGCACCTACACGTATGTCTATACACTCAACTTAGCACCAGAAAGTTGCCTCTTAGATACAATGCTTGGGTATATGCTTTTACTGAGCACAAAATGCTTTATGTAGTTCTAACCTATATTCCATGCTTTGCACAAATAGGCTACCTTATTAAGAGCCTCTACAAATAACAGTTAGCAGTAACAGTAAAATAAAATAAAGTAACATAAAATAAAATAAAACAAAATACCCACCTGAAAGAGGAAGATGATCTCAATGACAATGCTAAACAGAAAATCCGACATCATCTTGCTCAAATACTTGAACACGCTTCAAAAACAAAAAGCAAGACTTAACTAGAAACAATATCGAGACAATAATTTCATTACATCCTTTAAAATATGAAGCTTTAATGCGTCGCTTTCGTTTAGAAAATTGTAAAGATATTCAAATTAACTTCACAACAAATTGGTCTCTATAGGAACTCTCTTCCAGCTGATTTATATCTCCATTTCTCTCAAATCGTATTATTTTTCAAACCATTTATATAAAATCAAATACTTGTTTTGCAAGTGTTAAAATTAAAAAAATATTTTATTTATAATTTCGCATAACGGTTGTTACGTAAATAAAAATTTGGCATTTATCTAGCTGACAATTTCATCCATGCCAAGAGAGCATTGTTGAAAGACAAAAGTACATCTATATAAAAGTACATCAAAAGTCGTTAGAGATGATAAATGGCTTCACAAATAAAACAGAATGCAGAATGAAAGCACAAAATCTGTACAAACCTGTCCGTTCTCGACGCTAAAATGCTTGTCAATGGTCGTCCATGTTTCCGTCTATAAGCTACGTCTGCAATTTCCTAAAAGACGAGTAACATAGAAGCAAACAAACACACTCGTAATGAGACCAGTACAATGAGGAAGCTTAAACAGAGCTTTTGTCTTATTCGATTTAATCAAAAAAGTAAACGAAAGAGAATTCTGGAGTTAGGAAACTTAAAGGAAAAACAGTTATCGTATAGGTTCTCTTCCCTTGACATTTTTTGCTTTCACCATCTGAATTTCAAAAGCATTGTCAAAGAAAGCCAATAAGAGCAACAGTTGACGGCTTTATTGTCAATTCAGCAAGAAAACAATAGGTTCTTTCAGACCTGACATAAAATGGATTTCCTAGAGTGAAATTTCGAAACAGATTTTGTGCCTCACTCTTTCAGATTTTCCCGAAGATGTCATCACCGGAGTGGTTTTTAGTATACAGTGAACTGCATTATATTCATTGAATTTTGCACATCCTTTCACCTTAACCATTACATCGTTGATATATGGCCCCTAGCCACTAGCTTGAGATGTTGAAGGATGCAAACCTTGTTCAATAACAGTAACACTTACCAGGAACCAGATAGAATTAAGAATTTTACTGAGCCAAAACAATGGTATGACCCACAATGACCCAAATGTGTATGCCATGATTGGTTCTATGAGAAGCCACACCCTGTTATCATTGCTACTTCTGCTTGTCAAAATCACTAAAAAAAGAAACACAATTGGTTGATTTTATAGCAAGATACAATATAAGCCACAGTTAATTGTTTTTATAGCAGAATAAAATAAATGACACAGTTGATTAATATACCATTTATCTGTGTAATATACAACAGCTGAAACCCATATGATTATTTGATGATAATCAAGTTTCTTTTAGAAGGAAAACTGGTAATATATTGAGGTATTATTATCATCAGATGAAAAAAATGTTTGCAAACTAACCAAACTCATTGCAAACTCAATAAGCTGCGAAAAATCTTAAAACATTTTGAATAACACTTTCAAGAAAAAGGCTTTATAGATAATTTATTTAGATCAACAAAATTAAGAAGAAAGTTAGAAAACATAAAATCTGGCCTGACTTTTCAACTCACTAAAGATTTTCTGTGCCAAGTATTTTGCAACTGGAATGAGATAATTTTCAAACATCACCACACTAAGCTGAAAAAGAAAAATTTCGAAAAGGTCACAAACACATTTTACAAGATACAAAATCACCTACCCATTCAGAGCAGAGTTGAATGCAGTGACAAAATACACATCTCACCATTATCGCAATCACTTTATAATTTTTATCCATACAGGAAATATTTGTCGTTTTCTTTTCCTTGCAAAGTTTCCTTGTCTAGCATTAATAAAAATCTAAAAATTTTCAACCCTTTAAAACAAAACATTCGAGATGGCAATTTCCCTGAACTCTTCCTCTCTTCACTTCAAGCTGTCATTTTGATTTCAAGAGCCTTTTCAATAAGATCTTTTCTTACTTGGCATCTCCAATTATGATTGCATTTTGTAAGCATCAAATCCTCCATCGTTTTATGATGGAGAAAAAGCCCTTGGTCACTGAGCCTCAGTGTAAACACGCTCTGCTGTGAAGCAACAAAGTCAGCAAAGAAACTAGAAGGAAGACATTAGGATATTCATCCTCTCGATTCGTGACAATATTTTTCTTCGAATGCCTGCAACAAACCCCACTCCTTACCAACTTTGACGAATAAAAGACAGCATCACCCAAAGGCTTGTTGCAATGTAGATAGATTTTTTCAAATTGTTCAACACCATAACCTTTCGAATCTGTCCAATATTTAAGGTCAAGCTATTGCATTGCAATGAAAATTAGAGATTCGAAATCTTCGATTCCCAAGTTTATCAGTTGAATCAGCATCCATGGATGTTGCTCAATGAGATTTGAAAACAGTGTCTTGACAGAAATGGCATCCTTACTTTGACGTATTCCCTTTCTTGTGGACACCGTTGCTCTTGCCCTGCTCTACAATATTCTTGAGCAAGCACAATATTTCCCTCATCACCACATAGTTCCCATATTCTATCTTCAAGCTGAAAGAATTTGCAATACTAGGGAGAACCAACGATATCTGCGGCAAACAAAGCGTGTTCCAGTGATTTTAGGCAAAGCATAATAAATAATGCCAATGGCTTTGGCTACAACTGTGGCTTCTGCTTTAAGCGCACCTGACGTTTTCAAAATACACTCATTTTTTTAATAAGAAGCAAAGGTCGCTGTTGAGTACTCCAGTTTCTTAATGTTGATGTCATGAATAATATTATGAAATGTTCGTGACCTTTTTTCCACGTCAAGAGATTCGCTTCCGTTCTGACGCTGTATTTCGTTATATCAGCCAAGTTCTAACCTGTACTCTGGGTACCAGAGCCACAAAATTTCGAGCGTGTAAACAGAATGCCAAGCAGTACACTGTTATACAGGATATGAAGCTTAGGTTGCAATTATTGGGGAGGGGAGGGGCAATGTAAATTCAAAACAGGAAATAAGAATAGAGAAGATCATTGCTACCATCTGGTTTCAGCCTCAAACTCAGGTGGGAGGAGATTGACAGAAGGTTCTCGAAGAATAGAGACCTGTATCAGGATTTAGGAATGCTAGAGCCAATAACATTTGTTGACATAAAGATAAAGCAGGAGAGCAATAAAAGCTTTCTTTACAAGATTTCTCATTAAGTGAATTTCAGTTTGGAAATGCTCAGGGAAGAACTGCTGCCTTTTTTATCTATAAAAACAATTTTATAGGAACATGAGCATCGAAATTGGTCAAAAATTGAGAACGAATTAAGAACAAGTTAAGGCTGAGCTACTGTAAAATGTGATTTTGAACACCATTTTTCCCAAAACAAAAATTGTTTCCATGTGTGGGTGCTTTTCGGTGAATATTCAATCTTGTCCTCAAATGAAGGTTGTATCACTCACTTTGTTAGCAAATGATGCCTGAAAACCCCCCTAGAGCGAAAAAGCTAGCACTCGCACTGCTTACACCCTAATAATCTAAGAACAAATTAAGAACAATCCAGCCTCAAATTTTTGCAAAAATTAAGAACAGTCAGCCTGAACCAAAATTTTCTGGTTCTTATAAAGAAAGAGTGAATACAACATGCACATAGTGGCATACCCTTCCCTCTACAATGTGTATAAATGTGTGATGACACTAGCTGCACCCAAGTTTCCTGTGAAAGATCATGAGATAAAACTTGAATTCAATGAAAACCACCATCTACACGTTTGATGTTTTGAGGTTGTTTTTCAGGGTATGGATCCTAACAAGATTTAGATTTGGTTGAAAAATTCTCTCTCACATCCTTTCTGACTGCATTATCTATGTTTTCAGATACTTTGGAAATTCAAGACAAAGTCCTCTGTATAACAGGTCTACAACTTTTCCCCAAATAAAAATTAATAGCTCTTTCTATTATAGTTCAATTGTATTTCAATTAAAGAACCAACTTTAGATAACACTCGCAATCTAAAGAATGTTCAGCTAAAAGGCCTCCAGGGAAAAATACTTGATGACACTGCTTTGCATGCTAAAATTTACAAAATGTGTTAATGGCTATTGAGCAAAAATGTGAATTTAGTAATAGTGACAAAAACAATAAAAACATTGGTTACTAGCTTATCCCTAAATGCTTTTTGTTTCTCTTGCAGTCGAGACATGTTATTGCAAAGACTGTCAATAGCCCTTTAGCCTGTTTAGTTGTCAATAATTTGATGATCAAGAGGGTTGGAGAGTGTCATCATCCACGTGAAACGAAAAGGCCTGGAATGATTTATACAAAATTTCAGTTTAGCCTTTAGTACTACTGTTTTGTTATTTGTTAATAGTCAATGGGTAGCCATGTCTATCATGCTTCCAATGGCATTGTTATGTAGCTTTGTTTTTGTCAAACATTCTTTTTTCAAATAAATAAATGCATAAATAAACTGTGCATAACTATAATTTATGTGCTTGAAAATAAATGTTCCACTTTTTCTGCAATTTAGATTGTGCATAAAAACAAATGTTCCATTCATTAACATCTTTATCATATATCATGGTTCACAAAAAGTGACTTTGGTCAAGAAAAAAGTTATGTCCTTAGAGCACAACAATTCATTTTGTTTTGACAACTTATAGAGCTGGCAACATCAGTTTTCTAGCAAGTCACTTATGGATTGAAATTTCTTCATAAAACTGGCGTGTTTCTATGTCTGCCATGACTTTAATCTATGTATTATATCCTATGAATTAGGCTCATCCATTTCTGGCTTATCTGAGACTTTTGTACATCCATAATTGTTGTTGTATCAAACAAAAAGTTCTTCACTATTTCATGCGTTTATCAATTATCTTTAAAACTATTTATAGCCCAACATTGGTGCATTATCCTGTCTTGGTAACTCATTTACCACAGCCACAAGGTATGGAAATCATTGAATACTTCAGTACCAGCATAGCAGAACAGAAAATATCATCGATAAAGTTTACCAACTGAATAGTTAACAGGTGTTCCTTGTTGCACCACCTAATTCTTAAAATGCTCCTTTGGAATAACAACATATTCTAAAATAATTTTTCCTTGCAGTATGAAAAAACAAAAAATAAATAAACATGTCATTTTTCAGCTAAAAAAATTTCGCAAACGTGATTTAAATAGCTGGATTAATTTTGGTGAAGACTTGGTACTTACCAAAAAAACTCCTCCATTTAGAAAACAGCACTGCATAAGCATTGACAAGATCTTTGGCTCCCTGAAAGAAAATAAATACACGGCATGAACGACAAAAATGTCAGATTGAAAATATTAAGCATCTAAACAGTAAACATCGTGGTTGAAAACCAAGCGATATAGACAAAAAAAGCTACAAAAAATTAACAAGAAAATTGCACCTAGGAAATGGTCGATACTGTCCTTAAGTATAAGGAAACTTAAACAGCAAAAAGCAATGAGCTGGAGAAGATGGGAACTTACTCCTTGCTTCTTCTAGGTCTTGGACCTCGTCTACCAGGCGGTCGTGTAAGCTGTGAGTCATCGTCTTTGGTTAAAGTCTCCTCGTTTGATGGGGCTTTATCTATAGAGAACAACGCCACTGCGCCCAAAAACGAGTCTCTTAAGCCAATAAAAAACGTCGTAAACGTAGAACTAATAAAACTGCCAGGCATAATGAAGTTTTCAGAAAATATCAAAGTATAGTTCGTTGGCAACTGAGGTTATAATGTAAGAAACTAGATGCATCTAGAAACACGTAATGGCGCTGCCTAACACGACGCCATTTTATCGTTTGTGATGACCTGTGTTGTTGCTGCTGTTCGAAGAAAACAAACTCTCGTTCTACGAACGAAAGAATAGAAACTCAAACTCAAACTCAAAAACATTTTTCAGCAAATCAATTAATTACACGTTACGTCATCTAAGTAAGTTGTTCAAAATTCAATTATTAAATCCAAAATTACATAAGCACATTAAAGAAAAAAACAACCCTGTGTACGGCTGAGGGAAACATGAAAAAAACTCAAGATAGAGCTATCAAAGCCATGTGTCCGGTTGACGTGATTTGACGAAGAGTTTACAATTCATTTTGGTTTGCATAACAGTAAGAATGAGATAATAGAAATGCAAATGACACTAGAAAAAAGCAAAGAAAATGAATAAAAAAAATACATTAAAGATAAAAAATGGGAAAATTAGAAGCCACTTGCTTACGGGGTCTCTCTTTTTACAGTTACTTTTAGAAGACAGTAAATAAAGGAAGCAACTAAAAACGAACTTTAACTATAACTAGCTTACTTTTCCTAGGTTACCAGTAAAACTAAGATGAACTTTCAGGGGTGTAATCAAGAAATTCTGCATTCAGATCTCAAGCGAAGTTATAAAGGGTGAAAATGGCATATTATAAGGGACAATGCCTGTCAAAAGTCTTAGAACACTGACATCAATTTCCAAGGTCAAAATCAATCCCCCTCTCCCCTACCGAATAATGTTTGTTTACTATTAAAAGGGTTAGAATATTAGGAAGCACTTTCTTTTGCGCTCCTTTTATGATATTTCTCTAAATCATCAACATTGTTTTAGGGGGAAGGGGGCGGAAGTAGCAATTTTTTCATGAAAGAAATGAAAAATATCAAATGCAGCGTAAATTGCTTGGTGTTCCAAGTACTTTTGGCAGGCATTGGAGAACATGATACTTTATTGGTTTTGATTTTCCTAATTAAAAAAATAGAGAAAGAAACGTAACATTAGGATTTGACTGCTTGGGTTAAGAATCAAATTGTTGGATATTTTTGAGAGGGTGAAAGGTAGAAATTTCCGACTGACAATAAGTCAATATTTACTTCGTACAGTCATAGTGATCTTTCTATTTGTCTGCCCTAGAGGATTTTAACTTAGTATTTCTTAGCTTAAAATATCATAACAAGGGGGCTCTATGAAACTTCTAGATGTTCTTGTCTTGTAATCATTGCAAATTGAGGATGACGGGGATTGATGATTGTTTTTTCGATGGTTGTTGATTATTAACGTATGTACTCGGTAAGAAATCTTTCAAGAATTTTTTTCTTTTAATATATGTCAAACTTTTTATACATGCATATGAATCTTACAACGCATTTAAATTTGTCTATTGTATCTCTTTTCTTTTTCTGGTTTAGTTGTCAATTTTTACCTATTGTGGAGCAACAATTGTTTACAGCTTTCTTTGCGTTACATGATTCTTGGCTGTATCCAAGCACAAACGATGAGAGGGCTGAGCCCCCCTGAGCCCCCCTGAGCCCCCCTGAGCCCCTGAGCCCCCTGCCCCCCTGAGCCCCCTGAGCCCCCATCCCCCACTACCACATCACTGGTTGGAAGTTTTCCTGCAAGCCTGTCATAACTTGGATGCTGTTTCAGACGATCTAATGAGCACAGACATTATTTGTTTTCTGGATCATTTGTCCCAGCTCCCAACAATCCATTCATTTGACTTTTTAAAGATTAGGAGGGTAAAATTTAAAATTATAGAGTGTTGAAGCCAAATTTAGGTTCTTATCGTCCGTTTTAGGCTTTGAAGCCTTTCTAGGGATAAAACATGCTCTATGATTGTTGAATATTTCAACCGTTGCTTAAAGAGTTTCTTCTGATATTATTCTCATTATGTATAGTTAAGAAGAGCTGCCTAAATCTTGTATCAAAAGGTTCTATGCTAAAACTTTTGCGTGTTTGTGAAACATATTAAACGTTTGTTTTTTCTTGCATGTAAATTGATTGCATATCAAGCCGATTATCAAACCATGGATATTACCCGAGCCCAGGTTGGCTGCTACTCGCTTTGAAGGGTAACCCCGTCTACAGTCAAAAGTCTTCAAACGTTTACATGATAACAGCAGCCATTCCGGGTCAACCTACCTTGCTGGATATCCCTTGTCCAGATAGGGCTGTCCCATTGAGGCGGGTTGCCTTTTTTGTGTGGAGTCGGATCAGCTAAAACATTAGATCTAAGACATATGAATTTTTATTTTAAACCAACAAGGAATTACGAAAGAATTACAATCAACGATTGAGTAAAGCTAATGAATCACCAACTTTGATAGCCAATGGTCACATCATTACACTGCCCTTTTAATGATATTGCGAGCATACTGTTAAAATGAAACAGTTGCTTTCTTTTTATACAGGCAGCATTTATTAGAAAATAGATCCAATCTAAAGATTGTGGGATAATCTAAAGATAGGCTTGGTCAAAAATACCCAAAAAGCAAATGAAGATTCTTTAGAATAGACAAAGGGATGCTGTAACGATTAGTAACAGTTTCCAAGTCTCAAGACTTTATCTAGGCCTGAAATAAAAATGCGGCCTTAAACCAATTAAATAACCAAACGCGGCCTTAAACCAAATAAACCAAAAGTATAGAATAAGCAGAAAAGGCTTAAATTCAAGATATCGAAGACCTCAAAATTGATCTTACAGATAAACAAATTAGCAGTCTACCAATTACAGACAGGGAAAAGCTTATTAAACAAAGTATAGTAAAAACTATAGAGAATGATCTGAGTAGAAAAAATGGATCAAAACAAGATCCATTGGAAAAACTCTTTTGAACAGGACATAATAAAGCTGCAAATTCATTGAAATTAAATATTGTAGATTTAGAGGCAAACTTATAAGGGAAAAATGAATATGTCGTGCATCTCTAGGATAGCCATTGTTCCAGACCTGGTACACGGGCTACTGCTCCAAATTTGAAAATAGCAATTTGCCAAACTTTACAAACATGACAAAAAACTATCCCAAAGTGTCGAGTATCATGCAAAAATAGTTATAATAAAGTGTGCAAAACTACCTGTGTTACTTCCCCAAATGCACTCGGGTATAACAGTTACTGCTCCGAAGTGGTGGAGATTTGGCGTGTCTACTATTACTATAACTATTACAAAAAGATTAATTTGCAAAGACTTCATTGTATTTTTATTGTAGACTTCACTCATTTTTTTCATAAGAAACAAAGGTCGATGTTGAGTACTCCACTGTTTCAATGCTCACTGTTTCTTAAGAGTTTTTTAATTATTTTGTCATGAATGATGTTATGAAATGTTCGTGACCCTTTCTTCACGTCAAGAGATTCGCTTCCTTTCTGACGCTGTATTTAGACCTGGGAAGTATATTTTTATCCCTTGTGTCTTAATTTCTAGGCCATCAGGGCAATCATGTTCTTGGATTTTACAAAATTTCGTTGTTCTCAAATTTATCGCGATTTAATAGTTTTTTAATTTTGTTTTGTTTCGAGTACTCGTTTCTTATAGCCAATTTCTTATGAAAAATGTGTGTATTATAAGATCCCGTGTGGTCTAGTGGTTAGGATCCGGCGTTTTCACCGCCGTGGCCGGGGTTCGATTCCCCGCACGGGAGTTCATATTTTCACAATGGACAGAAATTTTATTTCCTACGTGCAAACGGGAAGTTCATACCTGCTCCCCAGTTATGGTCTGTAACTCAGACAACACCAGCCGCCGATATAGACAGAAATTGCATTTTTGCAGTATCAAAACACCAATGTTACCTGCAAGTAACAGTAACATCAGATAACTGCAATATTGCATTCATTCTTTTTTGATAGGATACTATAACATTTTTCCAGCCTTGATATTCTCAAGAAATTTCCGCTTTGAGCCTGAATATATTCTTAAAGTGTTCTTTTTTTAAAATCTGATATGGTTTTAGATGAACATTACCCGAATAAAAACGACGCTTTTTGAAAAATGAGACATGTCAGGCTTGCGATTCTCAGAACTTTTAGTTCATATTGAACCAAAATGGCATGTCCCGTCCAAAACTAGGCTTAATTACTCCCCCCCCTGAGATTCTTACAAAAAAAGATTATACTAATATACAGTATCATTAAAGCACTGCAATTATAACAAGCTCATCTAAAAATAAATATGAAAAGCTGACTAGTTTTGGTCAGATGATAGAAAAAACTTAAAGCAAACAGCACTTAACTTGGCCTATTATCAAAATATTTTTGTAATTTTTTCTTCCCTAGAACGGCTTTTGAAGTTCATTTGGCTGCCCCCGGCCCCCTTTATCTACGCCAATTTCGACTGTTTATGAATAAAAGCCAGGCTTTTTGAAAAACCAGAAAGAGACAGAAATATCAGACCTGTGTTTGAGCAATATTCTTACAAAATCCTTAACAATCGGATGATTCTGAGCCCAAATATATTAATAAGCAATATATGTAAAAAAGACATGATATGATATGATATGATATGATATGATATGATATGATATGATATGATATGATATGATATGATATTTGAAGCCCTTTTTAGCATATTCTGTATTTAGTATTGAGATCTGATGATCTTGGCAGTTTCTTTGTTGCATAGCTCGGGTGCGCTGATCTTTCAGCTGAAATTTATCCCAAAGTCTTTCAGGGCTGAGTTTATTCGTTATCATATATGTCATAACTGATCGATCGAACAAGATAAGATAATTGACGTTAAGCCAATCACAGGAGCAGATATTTTTTTGTCTGGCACTTTCGATTATCGACTGGGCTCTAGTTTGAAATTTTCGAAGGGTTTCGAGTTTTCTCGTTAGAAGCCTACCCCAGATTACATCTGCGTAGCGTAGGTGATTTTCACTAGCGTAATACACACTACAACGCTTCGACTGAGGGAGGATATTTTTGAGTTTCTTAAGTAAAGCCAGTCCCTTACAAATCTTATTTTTCACAGTTTTGAATTGCTCCTCCTATCTCATTTCTTTGCTCTGTTTCTTTTTTATAAAATTTGTATATAAATACAAGCAAAATTTCAATTAAATTTTG